TTTTTGAGACGGAGTCTTGCTCTGTCACCCAGGCTGGAGTGCAGTGGCACAATCTCAGCTCACTGCAACCTCCACCTCCCGGGTTCAAGCAATTCTCCTGCCTCAGCCTCCCGAGTAGCTGGGATTACAGGCACCCGCCACCATGCCCAGCTAATTTTTGTATTTTTAGTAGAAACAGGGTTTCAGCATGTTGGCCAGGATGGCCTAGAACTCCTGACCTTAAGTGTTCTGCCCGCCTCGGCCTCCCAAACTGCTGGGATTACAGGCATGAGCAACCATGTCTGGCGTAAGGTCTCCCTATGTTTAGGCTGGTCTCAAATTCCTGGGCTCAAGCAATCCTCCCGCCTTAGCCTCCCAAAGTACTGGGATTACAGGCATGAGTCATGGCACTCAGCCTCCCTTTTCCTTTTTAAACCATCCTCTCAGAGATCACAACTCCCATGTCATCCAATTTTTTGCCTTGGCTGATAGAGAAGAAACTGTGTCCACACTCTGGTCCTTTGCTCTCCTCTCCCTTCCCTATATACACCCTAGGAACGGATTTGATCATTCCCCTGGCAGGCCCTGACTCATTTGGCAGGGTTTACTTGCAGGCAAGCTGTTGTGTCTGAAAGGCAGGACTCAGGTATCACTTTCTCATATTCTTCACCCATGCTCATTGTCCCTCTTCTTATTTCTGCTTTCACCCTTCACCTCTAGGTTGAAATCATACTTGGCAAGGCCTCTCCTCGAGGGGAAGCCTCTCCACTTTCTCTCCCTCTGTTCTATCCTCCCATTTAGCTGGTTGAGTAGGTTGCCCCCTTTTAGATTCCAGAAGGATGCGTAGGAAGCGCAGCTAGGCTTCCAGATCCATGCCTCATGTGTGTGCTAGCCCTGCTTATCTGAGAAGCCCTGCATGTGTGGGGGCACGTAGCACTTGCCAGCTGGTTTGTGCTTCCATCAGGGCTGTTGTCTCTTTTGTGCAGCTTGCTCAGCAGGTAATGCTTGAGGTGAGCAGCATGAGCTGGTAGAATTCAAGGACCCACACCTTATCCATAACCCCTTAATGATTTAATTAGATGGAAAAATCATGGGTTATATTTGTGTATATTATCAGGAGGGTGACTATTTTAAGCCTTACTATCTTGCTAACTTGAATTTAAATCCTGACCAAGCTTTCAAAATGCCCCAGGACAATCTTCTTCATTCAGAACAATCTTCTTCAGTCATGCCATGGTTTGGGAAAGGCAGTCTGATCCTAACCCACACTGACCCTCAAGATCCCAGAGTTCCCTAGGAAAGAGTCCTGCAGTCCTGTGAGCTTTCTATACAGAGTTCTAAGCACTGGGAGCCAGACTGAATTAGGAGAGAATTGCCTGGGGCAGGAGTTGACTTCTCAAGACATTCACTCTCAAACTGAGTTGAACTGTTTCAACACTTGGAGATGGGACCACGCAAAGCATCAGAGGAAAATAAGACTGTTGGGGTGCTTCCATCTAGATATGAATAAAAATATCAGGAGAACTTCATTCTAAATGTAAATAAAAATGTCAGGGGGAATGGTGATCTCCAGGAAATGATTTATGTATACTTTCTAAACTCTAATTTGCTGCTGCTCCAGGGCCAGTCTAACTATATAAACTTCAGGCATAATTTTGACTGTTACCAAGTTCTTACTACACATGTGTCTCCTCACTGTCCTCCCTATAAATACATGCAAAATGAAACAGGCATGGACTCCCAAATTGGCACCAGCAGAATACTGTCATTGTTTTGAGTCTTCTCAGACTTCATTCACAAGAGTATATTGAGAGCTCACCATAAATCAGGCCTAGTGATAAGTGCTAGAAATCCAAAGAGGAAAGGATACTGTCCCTCAAGAAGCTCACTCATGTGACTATAATAGCATAAAAGTGTTACTGGTCCCAGGGAAATGTAGATTTCAGCAGGGATCAAAGGCTTAAGCTAAAAGACTAAAGTTCAATATTGTGGAGGACACAATTACTTTTTAAAGTACTGCGCAATGAAACCCTGAAGGGAACTAGTAACTTTTTAGTTTTTCCATAGCTTATAGGAATCAGATCAGTCATCTTTTATTATCAAAGGCCAGAAGGAAATCCACACAGATCAAAAAAGGAAATCTTTATATCTCAGAAATTTCTAGTAGTTAAAAAAAGTTATTAGCAAACCCCTCTTTTACCCTTAAAAACCTAAAATAATTTGCAAAAGAAACCTATTCCCTTATTTTAAGGTATAATATCATTTTAAAACAATAAATCTAGTCAGTTTGATATTACAGTTTATATACATAGTTTTAGAAGTTTTTAATCTTTTTATTTTATTTTGAGAACTAGGTAGGTGCTTTTAAAGACAACATGCTTAGGTTGGCCTTGCTGGGTTCTGAGGATGGAAGAGTGTTTCTAGGTTTGATTTTTTAAAAAACCCATGACATAATTCTAGATTTCTTTTTCTTTAGACATCAATTGGTCACCATAGTAACATAGCATTTTACTACAGAGATCTATACAGCACAAGGGAAACAGAACAGCAATTACTTACTGGGTTACTTGGGGGTACAGAATGTGACTACAGGGATAATTTAAGATTAAATATAGAATTCTCTGGGGATCTGTTTTAGCAAAGCAAGCTGATTCAATCTTCTAGTAGCGTCAGTTGAACGAAATTTGAAGCCAAATTGACTGCTGACATCATTTGAAATAATATGAGGAGGCAAGCAGCATAGCTCAGTGGTTAAGAGCACGGGCTTTGGGGTCAAGCTTCATAGGTCCAAGTTCTGTTTCTACTATTTGCTAGCTGTGTGACCTTGGGAAAGTTGCCTAACTTCTCTGTGCCTCTGTTTCTTCATCTCTAAAATGTGGGTAATAAAACCTTCCTCAAAGGGTTTTTATAAGGATTCAATGACTGTTTGTGCTTAGAAGAGTGCCTTGCACATCAGCAAGAACTTTCTTAAGTATTTGTTAAATAAAGACATACTAAAATTTAAAGGGGCTCGTCTCTTTGTGCTGAAAATAGTCAAAGACATGAAAATTTGAGTTCATGGCTGATTATTTTAGCCTGTAACTTTGATAGATTCCTTTGAGAACTTCCCCAGGGTCTTGTGGCTAGCAATTCTACAAGATGTGAAATTCTGTGGCAGTCTACTGTCCTAAATCAGAGCTGGGAACAATCACAAGCAGCCCTGGTACCAGGAACATCAGAAGGAAGATGATCGCACAGCACAAAGGAACAGCATGCCTGCCCACTTTGGCTCCCCAAGCCACTGCCAATAACCTCTGGGCAAAGCATAAGCAGCTGAAAAGGGATGAAACACGCTTTTATTGCAATGATGCTGAGACCTAGTTGGTTTCGGTAATTTTTCCCCCCTCTTTCCAGGATTTAAGGGGAAAAAATCCTTTTCATCAATGAGTGCTTTGTTTCATTAATTATCACCATACACAATTTCCATTCAATTTTTCAACAGGCACATACTCTGATGAATTTTCATTTTACAGAACTACCTAGGCATCTTTTCTGGACTGGTAACAAACCTAAAGCCTCTAACCAGCATCTAAGGCAGGACAAAATCTCCAAATTGCCTGGAAAAAAATAAGGCATTATGTCCTCTGAGCCAAATTTCAGTCGCAATACCAAGGGATTCCTATCACATACCTTCATCCGGACTTGATTTCAGAGACGTTCTCCTTAGATCTTCTTGGTCAGGAATAGCCCTTGCATACGAGTTTGGAGAATGCCATAAACCACCAGGAAAGCCTGGAAACACATTCATTTCTGTCCTCTGCCTTCCCCTTGGCTCACAGCCTGCTTCCTGTTAGGGAGACAAGATGACGCTGTGCAGGGTAGACTGTTAAACCATCTTCCCGCCCCCAGCCCCACTCTCTTGTTGCCCCTCCTTTCGCCTTTCCAAGGCTCTGGAATGTGTCACATGGGAAATGGATCATGTGGCTGAAGGGGAGAATGTGGCCATCTTCTCCCTCCCTTCCCCCACTTTTCCTTTCAGGAGCAAAGCAGCAGAAATCTCTGCCCTGATTGGCTCAGACCAAAAATCTCCATATGAAAAGGGGAAGATTCAATCACCCAAACCTCCTTCCTTCTCTATTTTCTTTTTTTTCTATCTGAAGATTTTATCCTGATCATTCAGAGTTGCTCAGTATGGAAGATAAATGATGCTTTCTTAACCTCAACCCCTCTTTTTCTTTCTTACAGTCAGTACCCTGACCTGGCAAGGTGTTCCTTAACCTGCCCTCTGGATCCCCCTTAGCATACATCTGGGACAATGGAGTGTTCAGCACCACGGACAGCATTACACCCCCTTCAGTGCTTGTTAAAGCCATTTGTGTATTTCACTCTCAAGTAAATAACAATATTTTTAAAAATTTCCCTGACGTCCTGTGCCTAAATATAAACCACATCATATGTTTAGGGCTCTGACTTCCCCTACTATCAGTTTACTGTTACCTTATAAACACAAACATAATTTTTATATTTCCTTAAACCCAAAAGACTATCCCATACTTATCTCCCTGTCCCCATCCCATCACCCATCCTCACCCTTTAAATATGATCTATGTTTTATTTGTGTGTGTGAGGGGGGGAGGGAGATTTCTGTAACATAGTTTACTGTATGCCCAAGTATCTGTGCTTATGGGGAAAACCAGAGAAACACACAGGAATTCTGGGGTATACAAGTCTAGATGTTGTTAGCCCCATCCCTAGGTCTCAGGCAAGGCTGAAGTGGAGAGGCAGGGAGGGAGCCTGGTTGGAGCTGTTTTGTGCAGGGTCTATCCTGCTTTGCTGACGTCCTCGTTGCCATGGTGCTAGGTAACTGCTGAAGAGGATGATTTCTTTTAAAACCGGTCACCATGGGACCCTGCTGACTAAAGAAAGGAAGAGGGAAAAGGGCTGAATTGCTGAGGAGGGATTTCAGCTAGCATTCTCAGAGCCAAATTGGATTGCTCTTGGTCCTCAATCTTGAAAGGAATCTAGGAATTAGTATGGACACTGCAATAGTTACTCTCCCCATCCTCCACCGCTTCTTTCCTTCAAAATCTAGTTAGGGGCAACTGAATAAGAATTCCAGCTTCACAGATTGACCCTGAAGTGCCATCACAGGGTGGTGGAAAGAACTCAAGAAATCTGTTTCTCCTCAGGTTAAAACATCTGACATTTGGGAAGCCATTATCTAAGTCCTAACAGCCTTAATTGGGAGATACTTTATAACCACACCTGATTGTCCATACTAGGAACAATGTATGGATTCTTTATAACACTATGGGAGAAAAGACAATTTTTAAAATGTGAGTTGCTGAATTATTTTAAATAAATACAAATTTTATTAATACTTGGATAGCATTTGGACTACTCCAAGTCAGAAATATAAACTGGCTATACATTTGTCTCATAATACTGGCATATAACTTATTGTTTCTAATTCAGAATACTAACCAAGGCAGTTCAGAATATTTATTTTTTGAAAGAGGAATGCTGACTTGCAATGTGCAAAAATGAAAACTTTGTTAGCAAAGAGGTGGCACAGGGAAGCTGGAGTATAATTTTCAAGAAACTGAAGGTTCTTCCTGGATCAACATCCTCATCGTATTTTCTACTTTTATTTTAGGAGGAGTGAGGTTAATTCTAGTTTTCCTATGTAAGACTCAGAGAAATTCAACTGTTAATTTTAACACTTGACATTTTAAGAAAATTCATTTATCAAGGAAGTTAGATATTGAAGAAATTCTTTGAGTCAGCAGGCTGGTGACTTGGATATCATCTCCTCTCTTAGTCAAGAATAATTACAACAACAATAAAAACAACTAATATTTAACACGTGCCAGGTATTTACATACATTATGTCATTTAATCCTATCAACCCAACAAGACGAGTACTATTACTGGCATTTCTGTTTTACAGATGAAGAAATGGAGGCTTGGGGGGATAAGTAATGTGCCCAAAGTTGCATAGTGTGGGAGCTAGGATTTGGAACCACTGACTCAGCCTCCAGAGCAGGCATAGTGTACTATTCTGCATCATGAATAGACTAGACTAAAATAACTGGCCAATTTAATGTGCTGTGACTTACTACTATGGCCCCTTGACATGAGAAATCACAAAGATTGTTTTAAATTACTTGAGACCAAAAAAATGACCAATGTATTTATTCCTTCCAGGATGACTGCATGTATATATTATGGCTTAATGATATTTAAAATCATTTTGTAAGGAGCCATAACCCAAAATTTTATTAAGGATGGTCATAAAACACGTTACATAATATACTAATTCTGCTTAAAAGATATTGCCAAAGTTATAATCACCAAACTTACTCCTGACATTGGAAGAAGATAAGGAAACAGTTGTCTTCCATCCAAATGCACAAAATTCCACAATACTTGTGCACCTGGGGTAATATTCTGAACATCAGTAATATGATCTTTTTCTCATCTGCCTGGGGAATCCATTTGCCCTGGAGATAGGATTTTGGCACTGTTTAGATGTTACAAAAGGAATGGAAAAAAAAATTAATATTTGGCTTCTGAAATTCAAAATAGCAACAAGACAATAGGCTTGAAATCCAGGCTATTGTTTTGAAAGCCAGTCTCTAAATTCCTTTATTTCTGCCCTTAGCTTGTCATCAACCAAACCTGGAAGACTTTGCTCAGTATTCTGTACTATAGACCTCTGGCTTCACGCAAAAACTTTCCAAGAAGTCCCAAAGCATGCAGAGTTTTATGGGAACTAATTTCTAGATCCTCAACTTCTACAAGTGTGCATTCTAAAACAGCTTTTCTGAGAACTGGTGCAGTCGAGATGCCATGCTGGTTCTTGGTTTCCACTTAGCTTTTCTTCCATTTTACCATAGATTGCCGAACCTCTCTTCCACCTTTACTTCAAATCCTGCATTGCCTGAATTTAAAAACCTCCTGGGGACCAAACTAGGAATAACTGAAAATACTGGGGATAGTATTGAGAAAGTGAATAGCTCCAATAACTGGGTAACAAATCCTTTTAAAAATCAGGAGCTTTCCAAGTGCTTTCAACAAAATTGGAAACAAACCACTACCCAGTGGTCCACTGAGAAATTCATTAAAATAGTTTTCTTAAAAGAGTGCTCTTACCGGGCACAGTGGCATGTGCCTGTGTTCCCAGCAACACAGAAGGCTGAGGTGGGAGGATCGCTTGCACCCAGGAGGCTGAGGCTTCAGTGAGCTCTGATGATGCCACTGCACTCTAGCCTGGGAGACAAAGCTAGACTCCGTCTCTTAAAAAAAGAAAGTTCTTCTTTACAGAAAAATGCTAGTTAATAAATACAGACTACTACAGTTAGAACACAATTTTTGCAACCCCCAGTGAAATAACTGACTCAGGAAAAGATCACAAAAGGTGTTCAAAGCATAAGATGAAAAGTTGTTGAACAGGTTCTTTGTAGCTTACAAAGTGCAAAGGGATGTGTGTCCTTTTTCAATGGAGTGATTGGGGGGGTCATCATCTCACCAAGTGACCAAATTTCACATTACTAATAGTGAGATAAGCTGAAATTATGTGCCTAACATGAAATGATGTAACCTACTCAATGTTACTGAAGTATTCTTTCTAAAAATGTTTAACCTGAATATAATCAAATCTGTACATATAATGTTGAGGTTTTGTTTTGTTTTTTAATAAAAAGGCAAGGGTTGGAGAAACAAGTTATAAGATATTATGAGGAAATAATCAGCCAAATCGAGAATGCAGAATAGTCTACAAGACAACTAGCTTAGACTCATCAAAAAGTCAAATCATGAGATAAAAGACTGCCTACCACAGTAAGTTACCTCCATGTTGAGAGCAGTGCTCAGGGTAAGGGACTTCTGCCTTGACTCCCTTTTTAAGACAACTGCCCAAGTCCCTCATACCCCATTCCTTGCATTTCTATGGCTGTTCAGGCTAAGTCCACAATAGCATGGTCAGACACAGATATGATAATCAATGATTCCAAGCCTTTCTGTTCCCTTGAAGGATGCTGAACTAACAGCCAGTAGGCCAGCCACAACCAAGGCAAGGTAACCCCACAGCAGGGGCCAGGGGTACTGAGTCTGCCAGGGGAGGTGGCCAATACTCCCTGGGAGATTTTTCTGAATCCAAAGATGGGCCATGAGTTCACCAGCTACAGGCTTCAGCATCACAGGACAGCATGTTCCCCAGGGATCAGGCAGACAAGGGGTATGTATTAGGTTGTTCTTGCATTGCTATGAAGAAATACCTGAAATTGGGTAATTTGTAAAGAGGTTTAATTGTACACTTTTGCAGACTGTATGGGAGGCATGGTGCCCACATCAGCTCAGTGTCTGGGGAGGACTCAGGGAGCTTTTACTTATGGCAGAAGGTAAAACAGAAGCTTGCATGTCACATGGCGAAAGCAGGATCAAGAGAGAGAGTTGGGGGTGGTGCCACACACTTACACAGCAGATCTTGAGAGAATTCACTCACTATAGTGAGAATAGCACCAAGACATGGGGGATCTGCCCCATGACCCTAACACCTCTCACTAGGCCCCACTTCCAATACTGGGGATTACAATTCAACATGATATTTGGCAGGGACATATATTCAAACTACATCAGGGTGTCATCCTGGAAACCTGAAAGTACCTCAGTGCATACATACTCTAGGTCCAGAATGAAGCCAGGAGCTACCCTCTCTCTCATCAGTGCCACAAAGATACGTAATTATACCCCCATTTCCCCCCAAACAAATGAACGTCATCTTCAGAAAAAAATGACAGGACCTCTTTGGGAGGTATTATGAAAGATGAAACATTTCATCCATAGGAGACTAATACTGTCTAAAGGAACTGAATGAAATTGAACTATATTTGAAACAGGATTAGACACTTTGGGTTTGTTTTTTTTCTGTAACC